ATTACATCTACATTTTTTATTTAAGGGGCTCAGATAAAAATCAGAGTCAAAAGAGGAAAAAGAAACTAGATTTGTCAACAACAGAGGACAGAATTCAGGACTTTTAAAGCTTTCTTCAGTTAACACTGCTTCTCCCTTTCTTTTCTCTGCCATCCTTGCCCTCTCACTTGCTGGAATTGTTCACTTAATGGAGGTTCACAAGGATGTTTTGTTGGTGATGCCTGGCTCAGCGTTGTGCAGGTTTTATGTTCCTGAAAACTCCTAAGGGAAATGGATTAAATAAGCATTTTTTAAAAGACAGTTCCCTCTAAAAGAGAAACCATCCTTGATGTGACATCTTACTTGAAATAGAAATTTGCTGTGCTTCCCAGTGGAGGATGTCCTGTCTATATATAAAAAAATAACATAAAAATAAGTAATTTTTAACATTTATTTCTTTAAAATTTTTTATTGATTTGAGAGAGAAAGGAGAGGGAGGGAAGAGAGAGAGAGCGCGTGAAAAATATCAATTTGTTGTTTCACTTATTTATGCATTGATCGGTTGTTTCTGGTATGTGCCCTGACTGGGGATTGAACCTGTAACCTTGGTGTATGAGGACATTGCTCCAAAATAAGTAATTTTTTAAAAAATGCAATGGAATACTTTAAAAAACACTGTTCTGAATTATTTTTTTTAAAAATAATATTTAGAAAGCAATGGAATTAAATAATTATCACTCCAAATCTAAAGATCCTTGGCATGTGAAATTGAAGGAATGTTCCCTAATCAGTGGGAATTTACTTCTGGCTTTACTTTTCTTTGTTTTTATTTCAGTGTACTTGAAAAACATTATTTTCTAGAAGCAAGAGTCCTTCCAGAAGCAAATCTGACTTGGAAAGGGTGGCCTGGGGAGGTAGTCTTGACTCTGTTGGTTGTTGTTGCAGCTTACTTTCCTTTTACTTCGATTATCAAATTATGATATAACTAGGCAGGAAAATGTGGAGGAAACACTATCCTGTTTCTTTAACCCCAGTGTAGACAGTGTTGGAAAGTTATCTTCCTGACAGTGGAAAGGAAATAAAAAGAATGGAAGAGCCCCAAACTCAACGACTGGCATTGGTAAAGAGTCCATATTTCATTATTAGAAATCTAAAATTATTTGGATGGAATGGAAAGCTGTTAGCAATATGTGGGAAAGTAAATTCATGAACAGTTTTCTCTGTTTAATCATGCAGAGATGAACATGTTAATGTGGATACTAGATGCCATCTTTCCTGATTTGCTGCTGAAGTCATTATCATTCCTTTAAAATAAGATCCCTGTTAACATATTTCTGTTTCAATTAATGTTACTCTCATTTTGCTGGTGAGTCTTCATGAAACCTTGAAGGCATACTGGAGTTTTTTCCCATCTCTTTACCCTAACCCTGATGATTTCTTACATTCAACCCTTCCTCTTGCTTCCTGATGTAGCCACCCTGGTTTAGGCTGCCTGCACTATTGAAACTGCCTACTAGATCTCCTTCCACTTAGTCTGTCTCTGAGCCTACCTTCCATTTCACCCCCACTTAGTTCATTGGCAGTGGGTTACAAGATTAATCTTCCTCCCTAAGCTTCAGAAATCATAAATGGTCTCTACTGTTTACCATCCAGGTATGTGGAAAGCTCCTTTAACTTCGACTTAAACTTTGAGATCCTCAAGGGGATTTCTCACCGATGCTAGTAAACAGGGATGTTTTCCCTTGGTAAGGTGGGGGGAGTGGAGAAAGGGCTGTGCTTACAAAGTCTGATTGACCGAAGAGATGTCATTCTCTTTCCTATTGGCGCTAATAAGTATATAGGTAGTGACATCCAGCTGGGAGATCTACTGGGAAATTTGAATCTTCATATTAAAGGCCTAGAAAATGAAGGTCTAAACTCTTCAGCTATTTTTCATGATCCTTGACAGCCTGGTACTTGTTATCTTCTCCAAGCATGTTTCTCATTAATTACCTATAGGAGTCTCCTGTTGCAGCCTAAGTGTCCTTTTTGTTTTCTAAATACAAATATTCCCACTTCTATACCATTGATTGTGATACCTAGGATGCTCTGTCTCCTTTAAACCATACACTCTTTCAGTATTCCCCCAAACATGTCTTTGTGATCACCACTACCATAAATACATACAGTCTGAACATTCCTGAATGTTTGATTGCTCTCTAATATCATTTTTGTCTAATCTGTAAAAATTGACAGAGAATCTATTTTGTATCAAGCAGTATGCTGGGGATTCAACTGTAACCAATTTTCTTATCCTTAGGAGTTTACATTTTAATGGTAGGAACCAAGTGCAGTTGAGTAAGATTGGATAGGACTCAGAGTCAAGAAAATGAATTTGGGTTAAGGAATAGTGATCAGGAAACGTTTCCTATAAGAAAGCAATTTTCAGAATTACAATCTCCAAACGTTTTATGCAGTATGTTTTGATTCATGCCATTTTAATATTTAAAGCTATTTTTTCTTTTTCTTAAATGTTAACCTTTGTAAACATTTATATCCCTATATAATAAAGAGGTAATATGCAAATTAATCCTCATGCCCTCACAAGATGGCTGCCTATGACCAGGCAGGCAGGGGGCGTTAGTGAGGTATGACCAAACAACTGAACAGACAGGCTGTGTGGGGCAACCAGGCCGGCAGGGGGTTAGTGAGGGATGACCAAACGACTGAACAGCAGGCTGCATGGGGCAACCAGGCCGGCAGGGGGTTAGTGAGGGACGACCAAATGACTGAACAGCAGGCTATGTGGGGTGACCAGGCTGGCAGGGGGGGCCATGAGGTGTGACCAGGCAGGCAGGGGTGGACAGTTGGGGGGCGACCAGACCAGCAGCAGAGGCAGTTAGGAGCGACCAGGCCAGCGGGGGGGGGGGGGGGGCAGTTGGGGGTGACCAGGCCGGCGGGGGAGGGCAGTTAGGGGTGACCTGGCCGGCAGCAGGGGGCAGTGAGGGGCGATCAGGCTGGCAGGGGGGTCAGTTAGGGGTGACCAGGCAGGCAGGCGGGTGAGCGATTAGGAGCCAGCGGTCCAGGATTGTGAGAGGGATGTCTGAGGGATCCTGGATTGGAGAGGGTGCAGGCTGGGCTGAGGGGACTTCCCTCCCCACCCCCTTCCTGTGCACTAATTTCATGTACTGGGCCTCTAGTCTTCTTAATAATAGCTTTTCAAGAAAACCTCTCAGCTCCCCTTTTAGACAAAATAAACATAATTTCCTCAAGGGTGCCATAGCTCTATAACTGATTATTTGAAATTTTTATACTGTGGAGTTTAAAGGAACACACAGATAGGCTGATCCAAAAAAACAAATTACTCAGATTTTGTTACAACCCGGATTCTGACTCAGTGAGGGTGGGGCAGGACCTGAGGTTTAATATTTCTAATGCTAAAGCTGCTCATAGATTGAATATGTCCTTACTGACAGGGTTTTAGAGACTGTTAAGGGGCAATGAATTAAGATAAAAACAAGTAAAGCTTTATGTTTCTTCTATTAATATAGATGGATCCTGCAGTCTGTAGATTCTGTTAACTCTCATTTATTCTCATTAATCTAAGTCAACTAATTGCCCAGCTGTGGTGGGCTCATCTCCCCACACCCAGAGACAGTGCATCTTGCCAGTGATCTGACCCGAAAGCTTCCGTTCTTCACCCCTACCACTCCCCAGGGAATGTGTCTCCTTCATGTCATAGGCAGCTATGATAAGGTGTGCTCCCACCTAATTGAGGCTGATATGAATCCCTAGGCCCTCCAGGCACTGAGTAATCTTTGGCAGAGGGAAGTGTTCCTTTTGGCATTCTGCCTCCATCCAACTGGTTTGTGTAACAGTTGGGCTCCAGGAATGGCATCTGAGGCAAGTCTGTATCCTACAAAAACTGGCAGAAAAAATTCATCATGCGCTTTTAAGATTCTCGTCAGAAATGCTCATAACTTGTGGGAGCCTTGGCTATTGAGTGACCTGCCCATGACCTTCTAAAAGAGCATGCCAGGATGAAATGCAACTCTTTATTCTGCCTGAATGTTTCCCCGATGATTTTCTGTGGGTGATTTTTTGAGGCTCTTTTTTTTTTTTTTTTTTGCTTTCTGTAGTCTGCAGATATTCTTGTAGACTACAAACAGGAAAGCAGTTCCTACAGGTTTGTTCCTGAGTCTTTATAAGCAAAGCTAAAAAGTATTATTTCTGTTATCTTCCTGGGGAACTTTGCTATGGAATTCCCCCCACCTATCAGATAGCAACAATGGCTTTTAGATTCAAGAGAGCTGTCTCAATACAAAGTGGGAAATGATGATGTCAGGTTGGTGAGGAGGCGTTGTTAAGTGGCCTGGTATAGTGGTTTATTGCCTAGGGGCCCTGCACCCCCAGAGTGTCTGAATCTGCAGACCTGGAGCACAGCCGGAGAATTTATAACATCCTCTTTCTTTCCCATGTCTTATGATGTGGTTACATAAAAGGCGATTGGTTATAATCAGGGAAGTGGGCATGTGTTTACATTAGCACATGCATTGTTGATTGTGATGGCCACCATTACCTCCCAATCCTTGTAGGTTTATTAGCTAAACAAAAAAAAAGAGACCTATGGAAGTATCACCCCTTCTAATGTTCCTTTGTGGTAACCCAGCTCATGAGCTGTAAGACCTCTTGGTTTGTACTAGTAGAGACCTGATCTTCTAGACTAGAGTAAGGATGTATTGAATCATAGGATGGGTCAGTTGGGAAACTTGTTTCTTTTTCACCTCTGATCATGAAAATACATGTTTTCCAAGATGATTATTTAAAAATAAAAATGAATGTGTTTTCTTTTAATATGTTTTTTTGATGACTGGGATGGGGAAAGGGAAGGGGAAGTTTGATTGATCTGGCTATTTCCATCTCTCGAAACCCCTTAGATGTACCTTGTTTATATCACGTGAATAAGATGGTTGATTTTGTTTGGTTTTGGCAGTAGTCCTTGTTTTTGAAGGTGACCAATGTTACACTTTCTATTGAAACAGTTGTGAAGCATCCCAGGAGGTACACAGTGATGTGGACCTTGGTCTTGGTGACCTTCCTTCAGATGAAGAGGAAGTCATCAACAGTTCTGATGAAGATGATGTCAGCTCTGGTTCTAGCAAAGGGGAGCCTGACCTGCTGGAAGATAAACAGGTAGAGGTTGGTCTTTAATTGTGTCTACTGTTGTGTTTGTTGATCTCTCATGACACTCAGAAATAATATTTATCAGTGTGATAGACACAAAGTCCCTAGTTTTCTTGAAATGTATAAAACATTTTTCTAATTTAAATTTAATTTCTTCTAGAATAGCCCACATAACATCTGGTTGTGAAAATCGGCAGGGATTTCTGTCTGTCCTGGTGAGACAGAAAGTTGCTGGAAATCCAGGCGTCCTCTTAAAGGGCCCGCATGCAAACTCTGGTCATAGGCACTCACATTGGACTCTGGTGTTGGGACAGTGACTCAGGGGTCACCAGAGACACACAAGGAGAAACTGAGCTGTGTGTTTTCAGGGTGAGTGCTGGAGAGATGGCTGCCATTGTCCCTTTATTCAGGCATCATCTTTCCTGTGTTGATCACTCCCCCCAGACAAATCTGAACCAGCTTTAGTCTGGTATCCTAATTATGCCCCAATTAATTAATTATTTGCTTAGATTTAGTGGGACAAACGAAGGAGACCAGGGGTCAGCAATAACGGCCTATCCCCTGGTACTTCAATGTCTAGACAGTTGAGCCAAACCGGAACATATGAACACACAAGACAGAATTAGTATGCAATCACACAAGGTTTATTTACCTATTCCTAGTGGGCCCTAGGCTCCAGCAAAGGCCACCCGTCGATGCACACCGAAAGACGGACGATGAAGACGGAGACAGACAGGCGGCCGCAGTTGGTTCAGGCTCGCGCAGCAGAGCAGTCAGTCAGGGGCTTGTCTCACGGAGCAACGTGGAGTCCTCCTCTCATCAGGCAGGAGACATGGACTGAAGAAAATCTGGTGCTTATATAGCCAGTAGTAAACAATTTGTGTCTTATCAGTGTGGGCCAGACGGTGTGCGTTATGCTAGGAGCAGGGTGTTTGCATTTTAAGGGCTTAGGGCATTCACATCAAGATAGTAGGGCGTTCACCACATTTTGGAAGTTACAGAGTATTGGGGTCTCCACACAGCAAACATTTCACACAATCATTTCCACACATTAGAGGGGTTTCCTTATGACTACAACATTATTATAACAGTCTGGTGAACTTCACTAGCTCTATTGAGGACTACCCAAGACCCCGTCCCACCTAACTCATGCATGGCCCCAGGCTCTTTCCTTGGCAACTAGCCTGGGAATTCTGGTCAAGCTGGTGTGGGGGATGCATGCCAGAGACATATAGGAAGCAACTGAGTTATGTCACTTCAGGGCAGGGCTGGAGGGAAGGCTACCATTGTCTCTGTATTGAGCCATTTTCCATGCTGCCAAACTGGATTGTGGATTAGCCTGGTGAATTCTACTAGCTCCATCCTGAGGCTCCCTGAGGCCCTGGCTTCAGTGTACCCTGAGGCTTTCATTGAGTACCAAATATGAATCTGGTACCAAATATGAATCTATCAACCTGGTAAAACACTGTTCACTAACCCTTGTGACTCCCTGAGGCTCTGCCTCACCAGCTCTTGTACTGACTGAGGTTTTTTACAGTGGCTGAGCTTTAATAGGAAGCCAGCAGCATGTCTCAAGTTGCTTTGGGCCTTTTATTTACTGCCACAAGCCCAGTACAGGTGGCTGCTGGACTTGAATCACAGCATGGCCTCTCTCACACATGCATCTGGAACCGGCACAGGTAGCCTCCAACTGCAGATTGCTTTGTAGCTCCTAATAGGTAGTTCTGGGCTGGTCACAGTCAGTGTCTGACACTGACCTGTACCAGAGTCCCCCGGAGGCTATAGAACCAACATACCCAGTGAACGGCATCAGACCACAACAGGGCACCACCACCCAATTAGTTTCAGAAGAGGCACACCCAAAGGGTAATATTGCCAGGCATCCAAACCCACTGGGGTGAATCCCACTGTATGGGGTCAGCCCCCACAGAGCAGCTTGTAAGCTATGGTTGTGTCCAGTACTTACAGACACAACCTGAGAGTCAATTTCACCCACTGATGTCCCAACAGCAATGAAGTCTCAACTACAACACGAGTGTACGCACAACCCACACAAGGGACACTCCTGGAACACACGGCTCAGGTAATCTGGGAGATTACTCCACTGGACCCCACAGGACACCTACTACATAAGACCACCCTACCAAGCCTGGGAGGTGCAAAAGATCTATCTAATACATAGAAACAAACAAAGAGAGGCAGCGAAATGGTGAAGCAAAGAAGCATTTCCCAAATGAAAGAACAGGAATCTCCCAGGAAAGAACTAAATGAAATGGAGGCAAGCAGTCTACCAGATACACAGTTAAAAACACTGGTTATAAGGATGTTCAGGGAACTTAGTGAGAATGTCAACAAAGAGATAGTAAGCATAAAAAAGACATAGAAACCATAAAATGGATATTTTTGAACATTTCATCCCAGAAATGAAGAATACAATAACTGAAATGAAGAAGAATACATTAGAGGGAGCACATAATAGATTAGGAGAAGCAGAAGATCGATTCTGCGATTTGGAAGATAAAGTGGCAGAAAAACACCTATTCAGACCAGGAAAAGAAAAAATAACTTTAAAAAATGTAGATAGTTTAAGGGACCTCTGGGATAACATCAGCACACAAATATTTGCATCAAAGAGGTACCAGAGGAGAAGAGAGAGAGCAAATGATTGAGAACCTACCTATTTGAAAAACTAAGGACTGAAAATTTCCCTAACCTGGGGAAGGAAGTAAACATACTTGTCCTGGAAACACAGAGAGTCCCAATCAAGATGAACCCAAAGAGGCACACGCAAAGACACATCATAATTAAAATGGCAAAGGTTAAAGACAGAGAGAATCTTAAAAGGAGCAAGAGAAAGACAGTTAACTACAAGGGAGCTCCTATAAGATTGTCAGCTGATTTCTAACAGAAACTTTTTAGGCCAGAGGGCTTGACACAAAATATTTAAAGTGATAAAGAGTGATAAAAGACCTAGAACCAAGACTACTGTACCCAGTGAGGGTATGAATTAAAATTGAAGGAGAGATCTTCTGCCCTAATTCTCCCCAGGGTTCTGGTCTATAGATCACTCACAAGGATCATTCAAAATGAAAAAAAAAAAAAAAAAGTGATGTTAAAATTGAAGTAGAGCACTGTTTATACCTGGTGTTCTCTAAAGCTAGATGGCAGCCAAGCACCCCCTCTCTGAAGAGTGGAGGGTTGCTATTGATCACGTGACATCTATGAGCTGCACATCAATGATGCTTATTTATCTGTGGGCTGTTAACTACATTGAAGGCCCAGGAGAACCTCATTTTGCCGCATTCCTTGAAAACCAAGCTGAGGTGAAGAGGGAACATGGAAAGCGATTCCTAAGATATCTAAGAGGATGTGAGAGTAAAATCTGCCTTCCGGTGATTAAGAGTCCTGAGATAGATAACTGGGAAACCAGCATTCAAGCTCTAGAGTCTGCTCTGGAGTTGGAGAACCAGTTAACCAAGCTCCTGCTAGACCTGAAGACCATAGCTTCTGCCAACAATGAATCTGTTGTCTTAAGTTTCATGGAAACATACCTGGATAAACAGAGGAACAACACAAATAACTGGAACGCCAGTGTATATATCATAAGGAATTAGAAAAGCAGGCCCAGGAGGAGGAAGACTCATTTAAAAAGCCTGCTGAAGTGTTAGGTAAACAGACCTAACATCTGAAGGCAACAAAGCAAGTCTTCCCATTGTAGTAGGTGCCAAAATCAGCTCCTTAAGAATCTTAACCTTCTCCGTTTGACAGAAAACGGCTACCCTTCATTGGTGTGTGTACAAATAAATCTGTTTTTGCATTATAAAAAAAAAATTGAAGTAGAGATAGTTTCCCAGACAAGTAACATCTAGAGGAGTTCATCACAACCAAATTAATATTAAGGACTTCTTTAAAAAAAAAGGGGGGGGGGAGGAACATAAATATAAATAATAAATAACAATAACTACATACCCATCAATAATCATTTTAAATGTAAATGAATTAAATGCTCCAATCAAAAGACATAGGGTGGTCAGAAATCATAGGAAAGTCACCATTTCAGTAAAAACGCCCATAACAATAAAAAATAAATAAAACTGCCAAAACCTGTTCGGCTCAGTGGATAGAGTGTCGGTCTGCGGACTGAGGGGTCCCAGGTTCGATTCCGGTCAGGGGCATGTACCTTGGTTGCAGGCATATCCCCAGTAGGAGATGTGCAGGAGGCAGCTGATCGCTGTTTCTCTCTCATCGATGTTTCTAACTCTCTATCTCTCTCCCTTCCTCTCTGTAAAAAATCAATAAAATATATTTTAAAAAATAAATAAATAAATAAATAAAACTTTTAAAAAAACATAGGGTGGCTGAATAGATAAGAAAATAAGATCCATACATATGCTGCCTACAAGAGACCCACTACAGATCCTAAGATACACATAGACTGAAAGTAAAGGGATGGAAAAAGATATTTCGTGCAAATGGGAAAGAAAAAAAGGCTGGGGTAGCAATATTTATATCACATAAAATAGACTTTAAAACAAAAATTATAAGAGAGACAAAGGGGGCCATTACATAATGATAAAGGGATCAATCCAATAAGAGTATATAACTCTTGAAAACCATTATGCAGCCAATATAGAAACACCTAACTATATAAAGGAAATATTGATGGACATAGAGGGAAAGATTGACAGTAATGTAGTCATGGTAGGGGACTTTAATACATCATTGACATCAATGGATAGATCTTCCAGACTGAAAATTAATAAGGAAACTGGCCTTAAATATGACACATTAGACTAGATGGATTCAATTGATATTTTTGAGCATTTCACCCCAGAGCAGCAGAACATACATTCTTTTCAAGTGCACATGGGCAAATTAACCTATTATAGGCTGAAGCATCCTATTTTATGAAGATGAGAATTATTCTTATAGAATTGTGAGGACTAAATGATTTGATGTATGTAAAAGTCTTAGAACACTGTCCAGTACATAGTTAGAACTCAATGATTGTTTAT